TTAGTGCAAACGGTCATCAAACGCCAAGCTAAACGTGCGGTGTGTACGCTGCTAACGCGCATTTAACACAACACCTAACTCCTAATGAGTACTAGTCCTATATCTCTATTGATTGTTCTCAAAGGAGTCCCAATAGAGGGCTGCCATGGACACCCTTATTCTCTGCATATAGATTTTACCCTCAATTTGAAAAATGATAGTTAGTTTAATTGTGGCTCTGAGCATAGCTTTGCTTGCTTTAATTTTAATTAATTGCCTTTTTTTTTTTTTAACTTGGATAATTAGCAAATATCTTTTTATAACTGATCCTCATAATTGGGTATTAAAACTTTTATACTACAACTTGTATGCCATTCATATTTGACTTAAAATTCATGCAATGAATGTTGGCTATTTTTAAATCTAATTATGAAATGGTTCAAAAGCAGGACATTTTTTTGGGATGGTATATTAAAAAAGATAACTGCCCTGCCTAATTCAGGAGTCTGGCCATTTTGTACTAATCACACTTCCATAAACAACATAAATACATGAGTGAACGACTAAGGAGTATAGATTAGTTTGAATTAAAAGATAAATGAAATATTTATTTTCTGGCACCCCAAGCAGTCTCAAATCTGTTTATCATCCTCTTAAGTTGTAATCGTATATCTAAATTTGTGTGTAATTTTGTAAAAATATCACTTGGAGCTTTAACTTGTATATGAGAATTTTAATAATAAGCTGTTAAATTTTTTTAAGTTACTTTTTTTAAAATTCAGTATATGCCAAATATATAAACACTTTAATGTGTCGGTTAACATTGAAACTATGAGGATCTATTGGAAATTCTTTTCTGCTACGAACAAAGTTATCAGTTGCAATCGAGTCTAACAAGATACCAGTCAACACACCATGCAGATGTTCTTGTTTTTGTAGGTGTCGCATGTGCATTAGTGAAATATGAAAAGAAACCTGCAGTCAATGTGTACAAAGTGTCCAGGTTAATTCATGTCTAAAAAAGGATATAGTTAATGCAATTTCCTTTCAAGAAATGCTTTATATGTGAGGAAGTAATTTGTTGCAAGTGTTCTTCATGACAATGTTCGTCCACATGCCACAAAAGGTACTGCCAAATTTTTGAGAGGCCAGAAATGTGAAATTCTTTCCAGCTTACCGCTACTGCCCCGATTTAATCCCCTGGACTTTTGTTTTCCAAATAAAGAAATATTTGCATAAACGAGGAATTGCAACAGCTTTGTTTATTTTAATCCTTTCTATCATTTTAGAATTACAGTAATACCCCGAACTTACGCGATAGGTGGGACCGAGTGGTAACCGCGTAAGTCGGGGTATAATTTCGCATATAAATACATACAAATAATTTTTAATTGGAGCCGGAGACTAAAGAAAGCAATAATTTAGAAAAAATGTTTAATAAAATCTTAGATAATACATATGTATAACAAATTAGGCCTATATTATTTTACAATTTTTCACATTTACTTGATTATTACGCCGTAATTTTAACATTGTTTCCATCTCACCGATAATACAGCGACGTTTATGAATGATGCTTGAATTTAAAGATTGAGCATTTTTCACAGCTTCGAGAATTTTTTCTTTGCCTTTTATAATTGTTCTGACCGACAGTTTCGGTAGATCAAACTTCTTTGCCAATTCACAAATTTTCATTTTTTATCGAAGTCTTTAATAATATTTAACTCGTTTGTAAAGTCAAACGAGTTAAACACGTTAGTAACAAATCGTTCGAAAAGTCTAACGAAATAGAAATAACGATGACGTCATTCTCGTTTAACTTGTTCGACTTTACGAACATACCCAATGTTAACTTTACATTCCAAAGATAAAGCTTTTCTTTTCTTATTTGATGCAGAAGAATTAGTTCTACTTCGTTTGGATGACATAGTAGAGTCTCTCGAGTCTCTGTAGATATAACAAACACAGAAATAAATAACCAAAATAAATTGTACCTATGTGTGAATTCTGCGCGACACATCTGAACATGTAAGCTGAACAATAGTGTGGGGGGAGTGAGGAACGTGTAAGCTGAACAATAGTGTGGGGGGAGTGAGGAACGTGTAAGCTGAACAATAGTGTGGGGGGAGTGACTAATCAAGGGTTGCGTGGCGTTCAAACAAAAGACGAATCGACGAGATTTGAAAATCGCGTAACTCCGGGTATTACTGTAATTATGTTTTGAGTTTAATCAATATGTACACAATTATCAATTTACACGATTCAAAAATTGTTGAAAGGATGACAATTTACATTAATAAATTTTAAGACATGTTAAAAGAAAAGTAATTGCATGTTCTCAGAGGAACATGCAATCTCCATAGGTCAATGACAAAAAGGTAAATGATGCCTTTTATTAAATTATTAAATTTCTTCTATTAAAACAGTTTCGACAATTTAAAAAAATATTTTGTCGAATTTTAGCTAGCCGCAGTCGTTGCATTTTATGATTGGCTATTGATTGATGTCTGGTAACTAGTCTAGTACTATCAATCGGTACATAAACTTGAATATTATGTTTTTAAAATGCAGTCTGTCTAAACTGTCAAATCAATTAATAATAAAACAGAGATAGTTTAAGTTTTTAATCATTTCATTTTAATTTTCATACTTACAAAATTTTTATTTTATTTTTTTATTTATTATCTGTGATGTGTATTTATTAATAGTTTATTATTCATCCAAATCTAGAATACAGTCATACCCCGACTTACGCGAACCTGGAGTTACGCGATTTTCAAATCTCGTCAATTCGTCTTTTGTTTGAGTGCCATGCAACCCTTGATTACTCACTCTCCCCACACTATTGTTCGGCTTACATGTTCAGATGTGTCGCGCAGAATCGACGCATAGCTACAATTTATTTTGTGTAATTTATTTCTGTTTGTTATATCTATGGAGACTTGAGAGAGACTATGTGGTGATTTCTTGTAACCGTGATCGAACCAAAAGGCGAGATAAGATTAACGAGAACATTTATTAGCTTACATACATCCGACTTGGATTTTACACAAAAGGCATCTGCAATCGTAAACAATTGACGAAAAAAGTATACATTTATCAGATAATAAACAAAGACTCATTTTGTAAACAATTTACCTTTTGTATATACAACTGACAAGATTACCTTTCAAATTATAAACAGACTCGATCCCAAGCGGTCTTTTGATCGTCGGACATACAAAAGAAATGAACAGATGGCGCCTAACTTAAGCGCGGTTTACAATAACGAATATGATTAATCTTAACACTCTACTATGTCATCCAAACGAAGAACTGATTCTTCTGCATCAAATAAGAAAAGAAAAACTTTATCTTTGGAATGTAAAGCTAACATTATTAAAGACTTGTATAATAATATAATTTGTTATACGTATGTATTATCTAAGATTTTATTAAACATTTTTTTTCTAAATTATTGTTTTCTTTTTGTCCGGTCCCAATTAAAAATAATTTGTATGTGTTTATATGCAAAATTATACCCCGACTTACGCGGTTATCGCGTAAGTCCGGGGTATGACTGTATTTTGCTCATGATTGGTAATTTATTTAATTTTTAAATGATAAGTTGAAATGTAAATATAAATAAAACAAAAATTTTAATATAATAATGTGTCGTTATTAAGTAATACCTCGTACAATAGTTTTCTGGGTATCAATTAAGTAAACGATTGAAAATATTTCTCATAAGCTCAACGTCATAAATTAAAATTATGTATATTCCTGGAAATATGCTTCTTGTGAAAATGAGGAGCAGGGGTGAAACGTTTATAAAATTAATGTCTCGGCAGCTGAGGCAGTTTGACATCGACCTCCCGCACGAGGAACACTGAATCAAATCTGGGCAGTCTGTTCTGGATCTGGCAGAGGCCAGCCTCATTGTTTCCATTGCACGTTGGCACCTGGCCGAATTGTATGTGGATACAGAAAAAATGTCCCATTACTACTTACAAGGCAGAGAGTTAAAAATGGGGGAAAAGAATGTCCAGTTAAATCATTACAAATATATTCTCACAGAAATCTCGCACTCAAGCAAAGACATTTTGTTCATTCTTTTAATAATCTGTCAAGACAATATTTCAGAATGTTTTACTTACTTTGCTATATTTACACAAATTCTTGTTTTCAATATAATTTTTCTAAATTAAAAAATAATCAAACCTAAAATTACTAGAAATACAGATGACAGAGGACTAGAAATCAAACAAAAATGTTTGATTTCTAGTCCTCTGAAATTTCTAGTGACTAGAAATCAAACAAAAATGTTTGATTTCTAGTACTGATCAAACCTCTTTAAGCCAACATTCTGCAGTCCAGCACACTTTTGATTTTCTGCCACTAGTTTGTACATCTGCTGTGTCCATTTATTCAATTCAAAGAAAATTAATTAAGGGAAAGTCAAAGTGCCAGAAGCAAGCTACATTGCAGCAGCGTTCAAAGGAGGTTGTTAACAACTCGTTCAAAGACTTGTCCTGAAAAGAAAATCTCTGCCACACATATCCGATGAGCAGACCTTAACGACCCTACTCCCTTGAAGATACTGCTGACCTTTCTGACTTCTGATGTAATCTGAGCTATAGGAATTAAAAAATATTTTTGGCTTTGGGCTTTACATTACACGAAACAATAAAATCTTGTTTGGAAGTATTAATAGTTGCATTATTTCTTGAAGGTTGGTTCCACCTTTGATAATATTGTACCATGTGTATGGAATAAGTACATAGTCATGTAGGTGGTTTCTTTAGGGGTCTTAAAGGACAGTTTCTTCAATCTGGCATTTTCTGTAGTATGGCAATGGCCCATGGATTGAGGTTTGACCCGTAATTTCTTGATTGTTTTGGTGTCGAATTCTAAGTTTGTGTGTGTAAAGTAATTGTTTAACATAAAGATTTTATTGTAAAAATCTTACAATACTTAATTTTTTTTTACCTTTATGTTGAATTTAAAAATGTAGGTTTAAGCAAACTGTTGTACTTTTATAGGAAGAGCTAGAGGTGGCGGTCATAAGGGTCAACGTCGGCATTTTACAAATCCGGACGAATTAGAAGCACAACAGGAAAAGGCCGAAAAAGAAAGAATTTGGAGGGTAATTGTAAATTTACAATGTAATTTAAATAGTGTATTAATTAGACAATATAAGTTTTTGACATCATCAAATAGGCAAAACACGGAGACATAGAAAGTGATGAAGAAGAGGAAGAAGAATCTAGAAGTTCGTCATCAGAAGAGGAGGAGGAAGAAGGAGGAGAGGTGGTTATTATATATTATGTTTGCTTAAAGTTAAATCAATATCCGTGGATATAATATTTGCTTCATAAACTTGTTAGGTCAAAGCAAAAGGAGTGCAGCATTTGATCGAAGTTAGCAATCCCAATCGCACCGCTGCAAAAACAAAAAAAGTACCGCTTTTAAACGAAAATACCGAACTGCCTCAATTATCTCGAAGAGAAAGGTAGGAAACTGCATCCGGTCGGGTTTTTCTGGGGAAATAAATGGGTATTCATCCGAGTTTATTTTTAAAGGGAGGAATTAGAACGTCAGAAAGCTAAAGCACATTACATGAAACTGCATGCAGCGGGAAAAACGGAACAGGCTCGACAAGACATGGCCCGCCTGGCAATCATAAGAAAACAGAGAGAAGAGGCGGCCCGAAAAAGAGAAGAAGAGAAAAAAGGTAACTCCTGTCCATACTTTGGAAATAAATAGATTTGATGTCTAGACATAATCAAATTTTTCTCCACAGCCAAAGAGGCAGCACTGAATGCAAAAACTGAAGCCGTAAACAAGGCACTTGGCAAGAAGACTTGACACCGACACGAGTAGAGTTACGTTCGGCCAAGCGCCGGTGTACAAACAAAGAAGATCCAGCGTCCTGTCGCTTTTGGCAGTCGAAACGATACTGTGTCACGGCATTTTCTCCTCTTCTATTATCAAAAAAATTTACACCAGTTTTTTTTCCCTTAAACTTCAAAAATATTACAAAGCAAAAAAAAAAGAAAAATAAATGTGAGGATACAACCGCAGTGGGGTAAAACCCTTACTGAATCTGTGAGTCTTTGCAAACATCAATCTTTTCAAATATGTAGTTAAAAATCTTAATTTGATGAGGTCTGATAGAATTTAATAACTGTTGTATCCATTAAAATTTTATATTGGTTCATAAAATACTCTAGTGTGGACTCTAATAAAATATCGGAATAAACTTTACTTTTTCATTTGTCTTATGAATTAAGACCACATCAAGAAAAAATCATGAATTTGTTTTCGTTCGAATATTGGGGAACCTATGACAGGAATTACATATGTTCCAAATGTTTGAAATCTTGTTTGGCTAACCCCATCGATATTTATGCCTTGCTATGCGACAGTCTGCCAACCTAAGTCTACTATCCTGGGGATCCGAGTTCAAATCCAATCCGTATTCCATAATTCAACATGGTTAGTACAGGTCAAACTGCCATTCCAAATTCTTTGTTTGAGCTCGTTGCTAATCGGACTTGTATCATATACGTAAATGATTGCTTTGCAATCATATTGCAGCTTTTTATTTTCACTGAAAACTTAATTTACAATAATGTTTTAATAAATACATAAAAATTTTTATGTATTTATTAATGTAAATAGCGCCAGCCATGTATTTCTATTGTTTTTACTTAAAATTACAATTATGTGTTGATATTGACGTTAGTGATATGTATTTACATAGTCGAGCATTTTGGATCCAAACCATAAACGGTATTGATTGGAATTTGCAAAACTTGTATGAAATTCTGTTTTGTAATTAGGCAGAGGCTCCCGTATAATTAATCATTTGCAAATTTCTAAAACAGTTTATAGCTACAGGTACTTACTTTAATTTTAGTCACGATTAAAAAATTTCTATACCTATCTAATCTAATATATATAAAATTGCTTGTCCTGACTGACTCACTGATTTATCATCGCCCAGAGCAAACCGCTGAACCTAAAGAGGCGAAATTTGGTACACAGTTAGGGCATGTCATGAAAACGCACACTAAGAAGGGATTTTCCAAAATTCCCCCACGGGGAGAGGGAGAGAATTAAGGATTAACCGGAAGAACAGTTTCTACTGTTCTATTTTAGATGCGATTTTTTGTTTTCAACTACGTTTAGTCTTCATTGAGTACTTAGGTGTATTAAATTGAAAACATTTCAGACATTGTTATAAATATTTTTATATATTTCAATTTTAAAAATGATCAAACCGTTTTAAATTCAAATTTGTTATTTCATATTGGTTCAATTATAGAACGATTGTAAACGTTCCAGAAAATTGATCAAATTGAAAATAGTTCGTTTGATTCTTGGCAATTCTCATTGCCATCTGTGGTAGGTGTTATATAACAATTACTATGGTTGTTGAAATACTGAATATAAATGGGATTTGCTTGCAAAACCTCCACGGGCAAAGTCGCGGGTAACAGCTAGTACCCATATATGTGGAAACAATTTGTTCTTTTAGACATGTATTTATTATTATTGTTATTCCCTATTGATATAAATGGTTAAAAAATTATCTGTCAAATCTCTTGTGCTTGAAAAGAGGACTTTTTTACATGCCAACTGTGGATTTTCGAGCCCATAACAAGGAACGGAGCATGACGTAATTAGCTTGCAAAAACTTCCAAACTGAGCCATGCTCGAACATAATCGTGCTTGGCAATTATGCAAGTGGCAACACAAATGTTTTGAGAATATGCGGTCCAACTCGCCAGGTAAGACTGCCAAACAAGTTCGTGTCATGTTCACATTGCCATTTGCAAAGCTTGAGATTGACAATCCCGGAGTGATTCTCCTTTTAGTCATCTGGTGCCCCATACTACAGACACAAAGTCTGGGACAATGTAGAAGTTATACTGCTCTATTCTCAACTTGGCATCATACTTTACTCGTGTGAGAACAAATTTAATTATTTTGATGGTGGAATCTGCTGCCAATTGCTGCATCCAGACTTCTCACCAATTACGTGGCAGTCTGGATGTAGCCCATTAAATTAACTATTGGATTTATGGAGGAGCTTCTACTACAAGAACAAAATTTGTTTATAGATCCATAGTTCTTATAAGTGGCTCCATCTATGGTATGAAAGAATGACTGTTATGGTAATACTATTTCAAAGATTTTGTCTCCATTAAAGTGAATTTTATTAATAAAACAGTGGAGAATTGTTTCCAATTATTGTAAAATTTTTTCAAATGAAAATTGAAAGTTAAATCACTTACTTTGATTCAAAATATAACATTAACTTGCTTTTACCTGTAATTTATTCCTCTAGGAGAAATTTTTAGTCTGGGTAAAAGGAAAAAGATAAATTGACGTCCTCCTCTTGTATTATTATTCCCATTTTATACGGGAATGCCGATTGACTTTTCCTCTTTTGATCCAGACTTGGGACCAGCTAGCATCAAAAGTCCAGATGGGATTAGACGACTGCATCTGACACTTCTGTACTGTCTGAGCTTTCCACCACTTAACTTTGGTCATACAATGGGAATTAGTGTTCTTAGGAGAAGCCTAGGAAGAATGAATTAATTCCTGATTATAAAAGCACTTCCAGAATCCAAGATTTGCTCCAATTTCCATAATTTTATGTAAAATGAATAGAAACATGATTTTTTGAGTTAGCCCTTCGACTGATCGAAACAAAAGGACTATCATTTTTCAATAATTGTTAACAGGAAGCAAATCCAAATTTGGCATAGATTTGTTTCAAAATAATCTGCGCTTGTCTTGATTTCCAATTATTACAGAGGGTGATTTGCTAATTGTGACTCACTTTTTCTCTTAGTTTCTTTCATGAAGCACCTGTCAATGAATTGTTTTTGTCTGCTCAATGTGTTCTCCATCTTGTTGGCTCACAGCACGGCATCATTGTTTCCACGATTCAAAGACCTTGCAAGTTTTGACCAATACTAATGATCACTCCTGTTGAATTACTTTCCAAAGACCATCTAATGTATTAGCCTTACAAAGAAACAAATGTTGCTTCAGCAAGCCAAATCCAAAGAAATCCATGGGGCTGATATCAAGTGCTTTGATGGATATGTCCTCTTGGGGATTGGGGTTTGGTCCATATACCGCCTTCGACTTCTGGAGATAAGCAGTTGTATCATGACAAAGCATCTGTGTGACTAGATGCTTTGTCATGATAAAGAGTCACTTTGGCTTCTGCAGGATACAGCTTTGGAATCTCGTGTTCCAAATACGGTTTCAAAATGTTCTCCACATAATAATTAGCATTAACTTTCATAATTTTTGGCACTCTGATAAGAGGAAGTGTTTCCAGCCATCATTCCTCCAACAATCCTTCAGGCCATCTTTTGTAACATTTGACAAGCCATTCTTCTGGCACTTCCTGTCCACGCTGATTGTACAGAATTTTTTTAGTTCCATTGTAGTATTCAAGGTATATATCCACTTCATCTAGGGTGGCCATGTACTCACTCTTTCCTTCAGCCAGATGCCTCATAGAGCTTTTTGTGAAGGTGTGGGGCAATGTGCAGATGCTGTTTTCTTGGTAGCTGCTTGCAGATCTTCACATATAATGGTGTTAACTGTGAACCAAGATATACCCAGACGTTTTGCTATGGTCCTTTTGTTACGTGGATTTTCTTTTCTAATCATTTCCGTATCTTCTTACTCTGAGATTTGTGAGCCCATGAAAATATTGAATGTAACTCACCAGCACTTACTTGTCGCTTTTTCATTTTGTTACCAAGAACTCTGATAATTGTAGACTGGGAAACTTCAATTCCATTTTCTTGAGATTTCTTTTACTTTGCACGGAATGAAAGACCTTCTTTGGAAAGAAGCTTGATGTGCACATCAACTTTGTTAGCAACTGAACTCAAACACTTAGATGTCATTTTTCTTTGCATTCTATCAGTTTTCAAAATTTGATATATATTTGACAAGTAGAACAAAAGATATCCTATCATGAATTTGAGTCATAATTAGGAAATCACCCTCTATATATGCATCCTCAAGGACCTTAACTTGCACTCGAATCAGGCCAGTCTTGAAAGAGATGGTCCTTTAATGTTGCATCAATAAAACCAGAACTTTTGATAATTGTAGTCTTATTTGTTTACCCTGAGCAACGTTAATTCCATATAACAAGTCTCGAGGCACTTAGAATAAGTGGATTCTACTGCATTAGTCCAGTTTGCAAGAATGACCAGATAGATTATCTCGTATTAGGCTACAGTTACAAGAGGTAGAAGAACAAAAATGTTATCACTTGCCAGTTGGTTTCGTGGTATTCTCTAGTAGTCTTTAGCCTTAGTTTCTGGGTGAATTACTGTAATTGGTTATGTAAAAAATTGACCAGTGGGGAAAATTATTTTTCATAAATACTAACTGGACTAAGAAACGTTTGCTTTTGTAACGTGCTTTGTTTGAGCTTTATGGCTGAGTTATGTACATTGGTTATATATTTTACGGGAGTAGATAAGTCATGGAGGAAGCAACTTGTTCTCAATTGGAGAATAAGGACAGAACTAGGAAATACACTAGCAAAAATCCAGTAATTAGTTGCTTAACCACTCAGCAGTGACCAATGGATATCGCCAAAAACTAACACAAAAAAAAATTCACATTAAAAAAAGGAATTATGTAATAATAAAAAGAGACTTTTCTTTACTAGACATAACCTAATCTTTTTCCAAAACAGTAAGGAGAAAAATCATGGGAAAAATTTCCCACGTTTATTCTCCACTAGATAGGGATAACACCATACCTGACTAACCCACTGCTGAAAGGTTAACTTTCCTGGCAACATTTAAAACTGCATGTGGTGCCATCTGTTATTATATTTTATTTAAATTTTTTGCCATTTTATAAAAAGCTTAATTTTTGGGATATGGATGAGTTTTATAAAAAAAAAATTGTTAAGCCTGATCCTACTTGACACACAACCCTGACCTTTAACCACTAAAATTTAATAGTGTTGAACTTTCTCTAATACACAAACCTCCCTGCAAAATTTTGGAAATTTTTAAGAAAAAGTACAGGAGTTAAGCTTCAAAGTGGATGAACAAAATCATGCCCCAACAGGAAAAACCCCCGAAAGTTTTTGCATTTCTCAATGTTTCAAGATCCAGAATCCAAAAATCTTGGGGGGGATCATTTTTCACTGATGGCAATAGTTTTCCTAACAGAGCCGGGAAAATAAAAGTCACGAGCCACCTAGTGGAACAAATTTACAACACCTTTTGTTTGTAAAATAAAATCAAGATTACTTTAAGTTCACATGTAATATTCTGGTTTGAATATCGAAAATATAAAAAGTCCCATCACTGCTATAGTCAACATGGTGAGAGTAGACAAGAGCCAGCCTTAACAGGAATCATTGAATGGAAATGCATGAAAGTTTACTCGTGGATCTTGTTTGTACATCACATACCATAGTAAAATTTTATTGGTGTGTATTATACAATATTTTTGATTATTCTTGGATTAGGGCTATTTAAAATGATGACAAATTTTGTATGATGAAACCATTCTATCATACATGGGACAATCAAAGTAGTTTTACAAACTCAATAATGGACATAATTTTATTGTAGAAACAGAATTTATCTGCAAGCAAAATCAAGCCATGATTTTGTTGAGGAATGCAATTCCATTTGGGTATTTATTGCAATTTGTAGCTCATTTGTCCCATCCCTACTGCCAAAGACTCCCGGTGACGACACTCATGCATCGTTCTAATTGTTCAAGTTGCCAACTTGGGCCATTTACTACCCACATTGGATTGGGCTTTGGTTTTTAAACTTGGAACTGGTAAAGTTACTAGGATTGACTCCGTATTTTTTTCAAAAATATAATGACGTTACCTACACTTTTTAATTTGCAAAGATGTCCAATGAAGACTAAACTGTAAATTGTGCATCTAATGATCTTGGTATGTTAATTATCGGTCTTACAGAAGGAAACTTGTTTTCATCAATGAAGAAATAATTAAATATTTTGCCCAATTTATCAAACAGCAAAAATAAAAATTTGTAAAAACTTTATTAGAAACGATAAGAACTGTTTTTAAATTAAAACCTGTTTCTCGAAATGGTGTAAAATAAAAATTAAAAAAAGAAAAAACAATGCAGAATTTTACAAGACCCCATTTTAAACATTCTTCTCTCTCTCAATTCTGTCTCTTTTAATGCAATATAATCTGTGAGCAGTGTACATGTATAATGATCGACATCTCTTTTTTTTTTTAGCTTGGCAAAGGTTACATCAAACCATACAATATATACAATTGTGTTTGGCCCACCTGCTTATTTTCTTGTTTTTTCCCTTCTGCAAAAACAACCGATAACAATACATCACAGCTTCATGGAATTTTGATGGCAGTTTCCTTTACAGACATATACAAGAATCGAACGTTGGACCTGTCCGCATAATGGAATGATTTTTTTGGTTTTTTTTTTCCTTTCGACTACATATCGAACACCAATTACTTTTCTGCATTTATAGCCTTACAAATAAATAAATGACTTTCAAATATGGCTATATATATAATATATATATATGTATGTATATAGGTATATTTATATATAATACAGAAATGAAACTTCCATAATTATCCAATCACTGCAAACTCAACTGGATACACAAAACACTGTTTTCGGTGTATTGTTTGATTAGAGAGGAATCTTTCAACAACGATGTCTCGCAGCTAGACCGACTTGATTCTATAATTATAATTTACAGATTACACATCATTTAATTACAAAGGACACACATTTAATCTGTTCCGAAAAGTCTGAACTTTGCCGGACTTTTTATACAGAGACGCAGCTTTTTTTCGTGTTACGGATGTTTCTTTTTAATTTACTCTCTCTGCTTTGACTTTTCTCAAAAACTCTCGTCACTTTCCATCGTCTGTAACTGCATGTCTTCTACGTCTACTACCGAACTGTCGTGAGACGATTCATGATCGACGGGGCCCGAGCTGACACTTGCGACATCGTCCACTACTAAAATATAAATTTGTTTAAAATTTAGAAATTGTACCAATGGAAAGGAATAAATATGGATGTAAGGCAACAGATGCTGTATGTACTTTTTAATGTAAAAAGTGTCCTTTTTTTTTATAAAATAAAAAATCAATAAATACATTTACGTGCCTTGTTCGTGCGGTGTAACTACTTCTTCATCGTCATTAGTGTATTGTTTGTCGATTGCCTCTTTTATTTGATTATTAGCACCTTTGGGATCTAGATCCATAGCCCACGAAAAATTCATTAATGCTAGGTGAGTGTTACCAAGCTTTTTATGCACCTGAAAATAAAGGTGTTATCAATAAAATTTAACTCATTCAATTTATATTTAAATATGGGTTACCTTTCCTATGAGAAAATATACAAGAGATTCTTTGGGAACGAGCTCCTTCAATTCTTCGAGCTCTCGTAGAGCATCCTGATGGCGATCCAAAGAAAAATACACGGATGCTCTGTGAAATTTGCACAATGGATTTTTTGGATCCATTGCAATTGCTTTGTTTAATGTGGCAAGAGAAGCATCCATCTTTTTCAATGCATGCTGAACCTGAAAATGAATTACAAGATATTTTTTTCGTCGATAAAATGTCTTAGATGATGTATACAATTAATTATACAAAATACATACAACTCCAATATGACACATAAGAATTGAACTTTGAGGATTAATCGCAAGAGCTCTTTTGAAATGTGTTTCTGCTAAAGTAAATTTTTCCTGCTTGTAATATATCATACCAACACCATACCTAGAAAAAAAAATTTATGTTATATGCAAACCAAACAATTCAATCTTCAGATATGAAAAAACCAACCAACCAAGCATTATAATGACGTATGTCGATTTTTAATGCATTTCTAAAGCAATGAATGGCACGGTCCATCTCTTCCGTTAATACGTGTTCGTGTCCTAGTAATGTATAGGCGTAAACAAAATCTGGATCTATTTGTATAGATCTTTTTAAGAATTTAATGGCAGTTTCATGTTCTTTTTGTAAACTAAAACAATTTCCTGCTGTGCACCAAGTCTGAAAAAAGAAACAAACCACATAAAGATGGAAACATAAAATTTATTTCTAAATGGAAACAATATCTCACCTCAGCTGCCTCTTTGTCAAATTCTGTTAATTCCTGGGCTAAACCAGAAAGGGCTACTTCTTGTTGCATATGCCACAGTGCAGTGCTATAATATTCTATACCTTTCACTCTATGTGGCTCGAGCCTACGAACTTCTTGAAATATGTTAATTGCCTGAATGAACAAAAAGAAAAGTTAGTATATTGATTAAATATTAATTGAGGTATTTAAATTACATTTAAATCACCTGTTCGTATTCTGCTAGTTCAAAATGTGCTCTTCCTAGTGCCGTAAGCACCCAACCCGTATAGTAATGATGAGAAGGTAGCCTACTAAGAACTTCTATGGCTTTTCGACAACAAAAGTGTCCGAGATATAGACAAGCCCAACCGAGTTCTTGTAGTAGTTGCATTAATCCTTCTACAGTAAAATATTCAAATATAAGGTATTTTCTAGGTAAGCAAATAGAAATTATCATTTATACCTATATTAAAATATGCAGGAATTAAAATTAAGTGTTAACTGTGAACATTTGATAGATATTCAGAATACTTGTCATCAGATTGGTGGTGAATATTCAGTATCCAGATGGTAAAATGTAGCTTTTCTGATTTTAGTCTTGATGTTGGCCATTGGAGTTTAAAAGTGCTCTGAATTAAATTGGCAGAGTTTGAACTTGATGCACTGTTTTGGTTTTGCTTCATTTTTGACATACTGCACATCTGTTTCGGCTGGTGCCAGAATCATTTGATTGGTTGCAGCTGAAAACATTTGCATTGTTGTTCTCTTTGCTGACATAATAGACTACATATTTCTCTAGCACAAACTTTATCTGTTGCAAATGAGCAACTGTGAGGTCCAGCTGGAAGAGATACAGGCCATCTGAGTGGTGTTTCTTGAGGAATGGGATCGAGGCTGATCCCATTCCTCAAGTCTCTTCTTAATACACTCCTTTTTGCATACTTTTTTGTTGATGGATAATTTAACCTTGAGTGAAACTATATAGGTTATAGTGACGTCGGATGGTTGAATGGCTCTGTATGGCCTAACCAGCATAACCGCCAGTCAATGTGTTAATTGTCTGTCATTCACATACTGGATATCTAGCAATAGTCTTACTTCTTACAGCCTTTCTATGATACTTTAAACTGTCCTTCTTGACATTCCCATATCCATAAAATACTTAACTGTGAAGCTTCCCTTTTCCTTGTGTTTGTAAAATTCACTAAATACAATTCTTCTTTGCTCTTCATTAAGCTGTCCATTTTGTTACCACAACAATATTAATTGAAATCTACTGAGCCAAAGTAACAATCTATGCTAGCACATTCTCAAATTTATATTTAAAAAATACCACTAAAATTAATGCACGATATCCTGTATATTGTATAATGCAACAAAATAAAGTAAAATTGCTCTTGCAACTCACATGAATGACAGACTACATTCACTTTTCATGCATATGATCATAGTTTAGTGATCACTGTGTGTATATACAGGGTGTATATCTTCATAATTAAGGGAAGAAAGTGAATCAGGGGAATACAGTTTCTCAGAAGTAAAATATTCTAACATTCACATTTGACAAAGAAGCTTTGGTCAAACTTTGGTTTTTATCAAACTTTGTTTTTTTCAAGCTTACAGATGAAAGGAAGATTAAATTGTGGGAGTTTGAAGAGCTGGAGCCTTGATTTTCCAAATGGCTGAACTGGTGGTTGTTCAATAGTTGCCATAATTAAAATGTACCAAGACTGGCATCAAAATGCTAAAACAACAACCCAACAGGATTGCCAGATTGGCTTTTTTGACACCAAATTTGTGAAACTTGGCTTTTTTCAGTCTTTTTTTTTCCATTTTAATCACTCTACTGGAATAACTTGAAAAATATGCATTCTAAAAAAAATCATTCAACCAAAAATGTTATTTCCATCTTATGACCCTGTAGAAGTCTATCAGTTTTATCTTAGATGGTGCTACAATTGGTAAAACAAAGAAATAATCAGCATAAATAAAGTGTCAGTGGTTCAGTGAATAAGAGTGAAATGGAGAAAATTGTTCTCAAAGTTATTTTATTTTTTATTTTCATGTACAGTGGTACCTCAGGTTACGAACACCCCAGCATACGAAATTTTCAGGATACAACATGAAATTCAAACATATTTTTGCTCCACGATACGAACAAAAACTCACCATACGACGTTACATTAGTTCGCATTTTTCATTTGTTTTTCTTACTACAGTTATTTTTTAATGTATTACTTGGCTTTAATTTGAGTATGTTTTTCACGTTGGAACAAATAATTTGGTTTTACATGTAATCGTATGGGAAAAGATGATCCACCTTATGACATTTTCATGATACGATCTCAGTTTCGGAACGGATTAATTTTGTATCCTGAGGTACCACTGTATAATTATGCCTAAGTGGAAATCAACATATGACAATAACAGAAAATATAATGATAAATGGAAGGATAAATTTCCTTGGATTAAAAAACCAACCGATGGTTCTGAATCCACATATTGCAAATTATGTAAGTGTACCATAGTCCCAAGATTATCCAATCTTTCAAACCATGACAAATCAGACAAGCACAAGAAAAATACTCCATCTACATATCAAATGGTTCTTCCTGTCACAAAAACCAGCAGGACAGTTGACGATAAATTGTAGGAGTTTGAAAATATATTTAATTTAGTTTCAAATGAAATTCATAAATGTGGCCAATCTTTAACAAATTTCATTGGTTTTGCCTGGATGGTGCATCTAATATGGTAGGATGCAATAATTCTGTATGGTCTAGATTGAGTGAAATTGCTCCTTTCTGTGTGCAGTATAAATGCATATGTCATTCTTTAGCACTATGTATTCAATATGCTGTTTCAAATGAAAAAAAGCTCACTCTCATTGGGTATTCCACATTCCTTAAATTGATCTTTGTCCATCCAATTGACAAATGGTAATTTTCTGTATTGCTCTTCAATCATATTAAATTGTCTTGTGCTAAATTCAAAAATGGCAATTCAGAAAACTTTGGTCGCAATAATGGTAAACTTGAAAAACTTTGGTCACAATAGAAATAGCAATTTAAGATGCCAAGATTTCAAAGAGTTGTTTAATGTTTTAAACTTTTAAACAGATTTTGTTAGAATTGCACCATTTCCCTTTGAAAAAACATCTTCAACTCACTGGCTAGTTCAGAGAAAGGTCATGTTATAATTTATTAATGAATTGGGAAGAACTTAAAGCATATTTTATTTCTGCAGAAGTAGCAGAACAACAATTTGACACCAAATTTAAAGCAAGAATGATAAAAGAAATGATCTTGGATCAGACTAATTATCTCTATTTCCATTTTGCAACTCCAATAGTTCAAGAATTTGAAAGGTTAAATGGCCTTTTTCAACAAAATAAAGCAGACCCTTATCAGTTGCATGAAAGTTTATTTTTGCACTACAAATCTTTAAAAAGCAGACTTTATGATGGTAATTATAAGAAAAGTATTTCTAAAGTTGATTTTGGAATGAATGAGAGTGAGAATATTTATTTCAAGATCTAGCGCAATTAAGCCCTAATATAATTTTAAACCAAGCTTTACGACCAAATTTTCTGAATTGCCAGTTTTGAATTTAGCACAAGACAATCTTAATATGATTGAAGAGCAATACAAAACATTACCTTTTGTCAATTGGATGTTTGTCAAGAATCAAACTTAGATCTCTTTCAGGGTCTAAAATACTTAACTTTTTTGAGATTTTATATTTTTCTGGTAATATACTCAAAATTCTCTTCAAATGTACCATTTCATGTCAGTGAGACTGATGTAGCTTTATTATGCTATACTATTAAATTTATTAGCCTAATTTCTACCAATTTTTTTAAACATAATACTAATTGCTACATTTGGTTTATACATATTAATAGATTGTACATTGTATGTATATATTATATCATTGCTTAGAATCATCATTGCACATTAGTAATAAATGTCCTTACCTGCTGAAGACTTTTGCATATTTAAAGCAGTTTGTGTGACCGTTGCACTGTTGTTTGAATATATCTTTTCTTCTAATTGAACATCTGATTTATTTAGTTCATTTAATTCACTTTCCTTTGGTTGTGTTAAGGAATTCTTCGTAGACCTAGTTTTAGTCTTCTTAGTAGGTGTTTTTGTGGAGATAAATCTTCCAGTTCTGTTGGAACTTTTGTTGTTTTCTTTAACTGAATTAGAGCTACTAAACAGACGCGAACTTCTTCTGACATTACTTAAACTACCGGGAGGAAGGCTACAAAAGAAAGAACAAGAAAAATCAAATGACTGCCTGTTAATTTTAAAAAGCTTTGATAACATCTACTACAAACCTAGACTGAAGAGAAGGGGTTTGAGAGATGTTAAAATTTGTAGTATTGTTGTTATTTCCAGACTGACTGAAGATTTGAAACTTTGGCGTATTTATTGACTGACTCCTCCTTGTCATTGACTTTCAAAGTATAAAAAAACATGATTAAATTGAATTTTATATCGAAAATTTTATGAAAATCAAAAATACCTTTTTGGCAGAAGCACGGGGGTCATTACTCTGTGCATCGATTAAAGGAGATGGAGAAGGTGTGATATATGCTAGAGTACTACTGTTATTAGATATTACGGCTGTATTTCCACCAGTGGAAGAAGAAGAATCGAGTAATAATACTCCAAAACTACAAGAAAGATTAATGTCAAAAATAAATTTAAGAAAATTTAATGTATCTTTATGTATAAAAACTTACCTAGGAGTTAAAGTACTAATTGATGTTGGCCCTCCAAACATGCTATGACTAACACGTGACACTGTTTTATTGCTAATAGATTTCATAACAGAATTATTACTAACAGGTACCCAAATGTTATTTTCTGGTGTAAACACTTCTATGTTGTTCGGTTCAACATTAGACCTAATCAATGCTAATGGTGAATGCACTGAGTAAGAGGAAGGTGCCGAGATCATGGAAACTTTTCCTGTAATCTGACTAGTATCCTACAGCAAATAATAAAATTATTCTGGCTGTCACAAAGTGTTTCCTTTCAGTTTTTAATATACAAACCTGATTTATTTCGGGTGTAGAAATACTTTCCGAGACTCCTGAATTTCCTGTGTTTGACATATTTTTATTCATTAAATTTACAAGAGGATTATTACCCTGACATGTGTTGAAATTCTCTAAGTTAGTTACATTAAATATTTTTGTAGGGTCTAATCTTTCACCTGTTAAAAAGCAATAAAAAAGTTAGAAGTAAAACAACAAAATGTTTCCAAAAAATTAATGAATAAATTACCTAAATTAACTAATGATTCGTAAGATGTCCAAAGAAACGGATTAAGTTTAAGACTTTTTCTGAAAGATTCAATTTCAAAAATTATTATTTGAAATTGTTAACTATAACAAAAAGAAAATTTGACACAAGCATCAATTATTTACCTATAACTTTCTATTGCTTTACCACGACGTTCTGTTTTTCTACACAATTCAGCAAATAGCTGTAATGCAAATGAAGCTGCATCTCCGTATTCATTTATGATGTCTTCAATACTTTTCGTTTTTGCAATACTACCGCCTGTTAAAGCTAGTTCTGCTTCTCCATATCTAAAAAAATCCCAATACAAAATTTTTAAAAAATTTATACAATGAAAAACAGTTCAAAATTAAGAAAAAATTACTTACTTCTTCAAATCCATGCAGCATCTGGCTAAAAGAAATGAACATTGTGACGTTCGACAGCCTTTTCTATGAAGAATGGAATAAGCAGATGCCGGTTTCCCTGCCCGATAATAGCATGTTGCCAAAAGAAATAGTGAATCATCAGAAGATACTAGAATAAAAAAGGAAAACAATTATAAAATTTTTATATTTTTACAGAATAAGTAATTTTATTTCATCAATTTTTAGTATAAGTTCTGTAAGTATGAAACTGGCAAATTATTATTAGATTATATCTTGAACTATAATCAAAATTAAAAATACTACTACAGAAGCAAATACTAAAGCACTAATTTACTTTTTTTGAAGAGGGTCCTGAAAGAGGCCTTTTCACAGGCCTGTCTTGAGCTCATCAGGCTACCAGTAGGGATTGCAATCCAGCAGTGTTTTTAATCCAGCTGGATTTTTGCTGGACCAACATCAATCCAGCTGGATCCAGCGCAGATGTATTTTTGGTGCAATAAAGTGTTATCTATCTATCTATTTAGCATTTTATGGTTTTTTTTAAAGAAATAAAACATTTTTTTTAAAAACTTAAAAACCTTTTATTATTTAGACTGTTCACTTTATGTCAGTAAAACGTCTTACACATTTAGGTAGTAAACTTAACTTTGGTTCGGTTTAACACTTGAGATAGAGATAATTAACTATAAATGTTTAGTTAAATTATAATTATAATGTAATAAGTTAAATAATAGCAAAGGTAATTCTACTAATTAATTTACTTTAATATATTATATTATAATAATGTAAGGATGGATAATCAGTGGCTAAGTGGCTATCAGTCTTACTAGTTTTCTTATATAGGCTCTACATATCAGTCTGTAGTTATTTATAAGTAATTTAACCACTTATAGAATAAAAGTTAAATACTCTTACTTAATAGAATTAGAGAAGAAGTTATAAAATATCAGTCTTGTCTTGAATAAAGTATTTTAAAGGATTAAATAAAATTACATCAATCACTTATTTTTTCATGTTATTTTTTTATTTCATATTTTTTTTTTATCATCAAATATGTTTTTGTTATCAAATATTTCTTTGTCATTTAACATGTTATCATGTTATTTTTTTGACTTTTCTGGAAGTAGGATCTCAAAAAACAAATAGTATTAATGGTGTTGTCTCCCAACCTACTTCTTAATGCACTGCATATATATCCCGCTGCAGAGAAGGCCCTTTCAGCCTCTACGCTAGTTGGTTTCAGGGTCATCAAATAATTATAAATCAAAGATAAGTTTTCACCTCTGACTCCCTCATTTTCATAAACAGCCATTTCCTTTTTTAATAACTTATCATAATCCTTCTCAGTACTAGTTTCTTTCCGTTTCATGAAGTTTTCTTTCTTACGCTTTAGTTGGATCTCCAATTCTTGTTCCAAGGTGAAATTTAGGGAATACAGGTTATCTGGATCATCGCTTTCCACCTCCATAATCTCCTCTGCCATTGCTGCTGGTTCCACTATATATGTATTTACGCGATTCAATAAACTAACCAAGTTTGATCCAAATCGTTAGAGCCATTTTTGTGGTAAATAATTCAATTTTCATTTAAGATTGTAGCGTGTCACAGACGCCCCCCTGGCATTTTTTTTAGTCGCAATATTTCCGAAATTTTTCGAAAAATTTTAAAAAATTCAAATTCTCTAATTTCTTCAAGCTGCGAAAAATGAAATAAATAACGTTTTTATTGCGCACCGAGTTTATTTAGGAAAAAAAGTCGAAAAAGTGCCGGTGTCCCGCAGCTGAAGCGGCGATCCGTCACGTGATTCATTGACGTCACAACCGACCATAAATTAGAATTATGCACCAGGACTAGGAGAGGATGTTACTTATTTTATTTAGCGTGAAGACACTTTATTTAGCGAGAGCGAAAAGTCAACTGTCAATTAGATCAGCAGAGGTAAAAGGATGGGTGGTGTGGTGTAGAGAGGGAGTGGCACGTGCTGCACTGAATGGCAACGTCGCGAGAGCGCACTTAGCAAAGCGGCAACGCTGACAACGTAGACTTTTGCACCATTATTTAGAAAGTTAATTGAGTATTTGCGGATCCGCAGCGCTGGATCCAGCAGCCCGAAAAAATGCGCTAGATCCAGCTGGATTGCTGGATGAGGGATCCAGCAATTGCAATCCCTAGCTACCAGGTAGTGAGGGACAGGGCTCAACATATTCAGGACAGTTCACTTCCAAAAAACATTCTAGAATTTTTCAACTGCCTGGATTCGATCCCAGGTCCCCTAGAACAATACGCTGATGCCTTAACTAATACAGTATCTGATTGGCGAGGCAACATAATTCTAACTTACCCAATTCTGTCAAGTGGTGCTTATCCAAATCGAATAAGCACCCATTACATTTTTATCAGAAATAAATTGAATTTTAAGCAATTTTTGGTTTTGTTTGCTCCCTTTGCTTGCCCAACTCATTTTTTTTATACTCTAATGTCATTGGATTTAAATCCTCCAAAACCATTTGACCTATTTCGACCAAATTTGGCACATATGTTGACTATAGGTCAGCAAATTTTGTAAGCTTTTTGGAATCTCGATTGGATTGTGTGCTTGAGTATAATATATATTACACTAGGATCACCTGAAAATCGAGCCAAAAACCCAAATCCCAGCTTAAGTCTATGGTAGTTCTGTCCCCATGATATTCCTCAACTGCACAATCCGATCGAGATTCCAAAAAGCTTAGAAAATTTGCTGACCCAGAGTTGACATACGTACCAAATTTGGTCGAGATTGGTCAAATGATTTTGGAGGATTTAAATCCAATGACATTAGAGTGTAAAAAAAAAAAAAAAAAACAGAGCTGAGCAAGCAAAGGGAGCAAACAAGACCAAAAAGTACTTAAAATTCAATTTATTTCTGATAAAAATGCAATGTAATATTGTCAGGTATACTTTTTTCCATTTCACAACATTTAAAAGAAAACTGTGATATATAGTTATTTACAATTTTTAAAATGTGAGGCATGGGTAATAGACTTCTGCTCAATCTTTGTTTCCAGACTAATTAATTTAGAAGTTATAACCATACAGGCCATGCTTCGTTTTAGCAACAATGCTCTGATTCATTCAGCAAAATTAACCTTTGAATGATTTCTAGTACTTGCAGTCCTGATTTAAATCCAATAGAAAATATATGGGAAGCAAGAACTGTATATTCAAATAGAAAGCAATATAACTCCACCTATGATCTAAAAGAGGTAATTCTGTCTGAGTGGCAAGCCATTAAAACACAGTGCACACAGAAACTTATTAATTTGATGTTTATTATTAATTTTTATGACTATTTTTATTTGGTGGATCTATCATTTTTGCTATTTCGAGCTTCATAACTACATAATTACATGATTTATTTTTCTTACATAATTTGTTGTTACAATGTCCTTTTAATGTATAAATATTAAGCAATCGTTCAATTGAAATTTTTATTTTGATGTGTTCTATCATTATGCAAAGCACTGTATCATCATATAAAAACCAAACTCCAATTGCATTACTAATCAAATAATCAAGCCAGAGTTATTATCAGGCTACATTTTGGCTAATTAAATTGGCCCGAAATAGTCGTTCCCAAGTTACGAAAACAGACAAGACACGAATACCATGTATCTTTATGTAAAAATTTAAAAGGATTTATAAATTGTTATGAGTGAGTGTTATTAGAAACAGAACATTTAATTTGTGTTTAGATCAACTTCAATCAGATGTCACATAGAAACTTTCTAAATGTTTTACTAGAATATTTTAATTTGTTTTACAGTGAAATTCTGTTAACTCGGCATCTGATATGCCAGCAAAGCTGGCACGTCGATTTCATAGTTTGGGGTTATTGGTGCATTAATCTTTACCATAGTCATTGGCAACTTCCGATATAAACATTATGGAAACAGAGTAAGACCAAGACGATATGATGATGTGCAAGATAAAACCAGTTTGCCCATGCATGATTTTACTAAAGACTTTTCCAAAGATATCTGTGCATGGATTTGCTATGAGAAGCAAAAATACTTAATTATTGATTCCAAACATACTATCATAGAAACAGCTGCTGTACATTGCTGTTCATGTACATTGATAAATAGAGTATGTCTATATTTATATGCAATAAAAGTGTACAAAGCACAAAGCTTGGTTGCCTTGAAATGCAGTGTTCTTGTTTCAAGGCAACCAAGGATAGGAATAGCCCGGAAAATTTGAAATGGCATGTTAAACAATCATAAAAGGTGAATGTGTACAGTTTTAAACACAAAGATATGTAAAACTGTGTCCATGGAATGAAAAAAATTGGAAAAACTTCCATCGTCCGATAAGGTGAAATATTCGATAATCCAGCACCGCACCAGTCCTGACAATGCCTGGTTAATGGAATTTCACTATATTATGTTGAGAAAGAAGGAAAATGAAAAAAACCATTTAAGATTTTGGGATAATTTGAAAAAACTTATTTTTTTAATGTCTTAAAATATACTTCATTGCAAAAGTTAATGCACCTTCAAGAATAATCAAATTCTGTATGTGAAATGGTAGCAAGAAATAAATTCATTACAACATCACAGCACAAGAATCCATCATTGAAGAACAGTTTTGTTATGTACTTGTAAGTAGTAAAACCATCTCTATTAGTGATCAGTTTGCATTAATTGCAAGAATGCATTTGCCAATTTCCAATCTCTAACATTTATAGCAAAGCATCCTTATGCTGTGATGTAATGAATTTATTATTTTTTCACCACCATTTCCACTTATAGAATTTGATATGCTGGCTTTAAGGTGCATTGATTTTTTTTGCAACAGAGTATATATTCACAAATTTACTAAGTAGCAATTGTTATTAATTACACATTTAAATTAGTAACAAGAACATATTTAATTATAAAAATAAAATAAATTTTGTCACAATTAATTTGGTGTAATACAAAATATAAAATTAATTAATAGTCTTTGAATTTCTTTTAACCCAAGGAGAACAAAATTAAAAAATGTTCTGTATATTAAAGTAAATCTCAGGATTGTTTTTAAGTCTGTTCCTACGTAAAAAAGAATAAAGACAATTCAAAATTTATAAACAAATCCATTTATCATCATTTTCAAAAGTATTTTCTA